CCCATTTAATTATAAACGCAAATTTACGACGTAAATACCATCCTTTTTCGACTTTACAACGGGTTCATTTTTATTTTCGGCATTTCATTGCAGAAAACGAATACGTTAGCTAATAATATTCGTAAGGTAAATTATGATATGAGTATGATAAAAATCATAAGATAAATTATGATATGAGTATGATAAAAATCATAAGATAAATTATGATATGAGTATGATAAAAGTCATAAGATAAATTATGATATGACTATGATAAAAATCATGAGGTAAATTACGATATGAGTATGATAAAAATCGTAAGATAAATTATGATATGAGTATGATAAAAATCATGAAGTAAATTATGATATGAGTATGATAAAAATCATGAGGTAAATTATGATATGAGTATGATAAAAATCGTAAGATAAGTTATGATATGAGTATGATAAAAATCATAAGATAAATTATGATATGAATATGATAAAAATAATGAGCTAAATTACTATATGTGTATGATAAAAATCATAAGATAAATTATGATATGAGTATGATAAAAATCATGAGGTAAATTATGATATGATTATGATAAAAATCTTAGTAAATGCATTTACATCAGTGGTTCGTAACCGATTTGGGGCCATGTCCCACTTTGGTATTTCTAAAATTCTGGTGTCCCCTTGTAATATTTAATTCTTACATATTCAACATTTTACTGCAATTCACGTGAAAGAAGCTTAAAAGGCCATTAACTTGGTCTCTAAACAAGCCTCCAAACATCATGGCGTTCATAAAAGAGAAAAATTAAAACCAAAAAGACAGTTAAATATATATAATTTCAAAACATATAATAGAGAACTGAAAGGCAGAAATATAAAATATTTCAGTGAAAGCTTATTCTATAATATACTTTGATCATTTTAATCATGAAATAATAAGGCAAAATTAAATTTGAGCTCACTAGAAAACAATTCACTGTTAATAACTCAATCTCGAATTGTCCCATTATTCTATTAGTATAGTAAGCCGAAGGGTACACATCCTACGCATAATCCATCAAAATATTACTTTGCCCCATCGGTGGGGTATGCGTCCCATGTTGGGAACCATTGATTTATATTATACGTATAGAAACTCTAATCCATCAATAATGATTGTTTTATTTGTTCTTTGTGGATTATATAAATCCGAGAGGTATTTCGGATTATAGAAGGTTGCTTGCAGTACGCGTATTGACCGGGCTTAACGCTGCTTTATTTTAAACTATTCTATCAGTAATTATTGTTTGATTTGTTTTTTTTTATGGCTTATCTGCCCTTTGTCAGTTATTTAAAGCCAAAACCGATTTCGGCTTGTAGAAGGATGCTGACAGTACCCGGTGTCCCCCATCTAACTACTGACCGGGTTCAACGCTGCTTAACTTCAGTGATCAACCTAGAACGAGTGCTTTAAGCGTGTATTCTTTCAGTAATGATTACTTTAATTCCTGACCACTGACAATGCCTTTTCTCTTCATTTTCAATGTTTTCCTGTCGTAAAATCATTAAGAATACGTTTACATTATACGTGTAATAACTCTATTCTGTTAGTAATATTAAAATTAATTCTTGACCACAAACAATCCCTTTCTTCCTCATTTTCAAATAGTAGTAAAATCATTATCTCTGTAATTCAATTCTACATATATATATAACATTCCTATTTTTTCAGTGCTTTAATTCCTGACCATTGATAATCCCTTTTTGTCTTTACTTTTAATTCACAATATATATGTTCATTGCCGTTTCCCTTCAGGATATGGGCTGTCATGGCTCACCACAATTTCCTGTCCTTAGTAGCTCTTAATAGATTTCGTCTTTTTGTTATCTCTTCTAACCCCTGTTCAGTTGTGCTTTGTATTCCTCTGTCTCTCACTCTCCCTCTGTCTCTCTCTCTCGTCATCAATCTTTCCTGTAAATATCAAATTTTTTTTGTTTTCATTTTCTTTAAAACTTTGTCCTTACTCACATGTTCTGTCCATTGTACTGTCAGCATCTTTCTGTAGAACCACATTTCTTTTGCTTCAAGTCTCGTCTTCATCTGTGAAGAGATTTTCCAGCATTCACTGCCATATAGGAGATACTGATATCAAGTAACATTTCAGTACTCTTTTGGTTCTAAAGAAATTTTCCTGTTTCTTTATACTTTGCTTAGCTTCAGGAAAGCAACATTCGCTATCCCAATTCGCTTTCGGATTTCAATATCGCACTTTCCGTCCACTGTTAAAGCACTTCTCAAATATTTAATTTTCTTTACTTGCTTGATATTGGTAACCCCAATTTGTAATTTGCAGGTTGGGCTGTTTATTTTGCTAACAACCATGTTCTTCTTACAATTGATGCTTAGTCCTTTCTTCACGCTTTCCTTCACTACCTTCTGTATGCATTCTTGTAGTTTACTTTCTATCTCTGCTATGAACACTGTGTCACTTGCATATCCTATGTTGTTAAGATTGTAGCCGCCAATAATGAATCCTGGTAGGACTTATAATTCTCTCAGAATCGCCTTACTCAATAAGTCCGGCAAGAAGACACATCCTTGTCTTACGTCCGTTTCTTTTTTATAGGTTGTTATCCTGTCCTTCTTGCTTTTAATATGTCCTGTCAGTGGTAAATTTTCCAAGCCTTCTTTCCTCATTACTTATTCTAGAAATTTTAACTGACTAATTCTGATATTAAGTATAAATGCTTTTTTTTGTTTACATTTCCTTAAAGATTTCGTCGTTGCTCAAATATTTAGTCCGTGGTATTTTCCCAGCATCCTTCTGTAGAACCACATTTCTGTTGCTTCAAGTAACTTCTTCATCTGTGAGTCGATTGTTCAGCATTCACTGCTATATAGGATGACAGATATTACGTAACAGTTCAGTACTCTTTTCTTTGTAATGAAGGATTTTCTTGTTTCTTAATGCATTACTTAGCTTCAGGAAGGCATCTTACGTTATCCCAATGCCCCTTCGGATTTCCAAGTCGCATTTTCCGTTCTCTGTTAAAATACTATTTAAATTGTTGTATGCGTTTGATTTTTAGCATATCCAGTTCGTTAGGAATTCATTTTGATTGCTTTGGGTTGTTTTGTTTTACGGTATATCAACCACAATCATTTCTTTAATGCCCCCAATTTTTATTGCTGGTAATATTTTTCATTCAAAATGTATTTCTGGTTTAGTTTGTTTGTTTTGTTTCACGGCATATTTATATATCGTATTTACTAATTCCACATCCTCAATGGATCATTTAATGCCGACAAAATTTTTATTGCTGGTCATATTTTTTTCCTTCAAAAAATCTATTTCTGGTAATATTTTTCCTTCAATTGTATCACTGGTAATATTTTTTTTTTTCAAAAATGTATTGCTGGTTAAATTTTTTTCCTTCAAACATTTATTGCTGGTAATAATTTTTTAAAAAGTATTTTTGGTATCAAAACGTATTTTTACACTTTCATAGTGTTTTGACCCCTGTTTAGGGGTTAACAATTTGCCCATAGTTGGAACCCTGACAGGTCCCCCCCCCCCGGGTCAGAGTGGACCTGGGAACACCAGAAAATTAAGAGGTGGTTCCACGCTTCTCAAAACCTTCTGATCAGAAGCCTTGCTGTTGGACGTAGTTTATCGTCTTACCCAGGACATGGATGAAGTTTATCATCTTACGCAGGACGGAATTCATTTTGATAGAGTTCGAAATTTTTTTTTAAAGACACCGAACGACCATGGATTATGTAATTGGACTACGATAAAACAAGCCAAGACCTTGCCTACGTCTACCGCTTTTAAACGCATTCAACACCAAAATAAAAGCATGATTTTTTTATTTTATTTTCTGCTTTCTCTACTGTTAAAATCTGATGTGTCCCAATAGATGTAACCATTAGACTGAGAATTGGTTAGCAAGCGAGTTTCATAGACAATTATTTGCATAACGAATTTAATCCATACTGTGCTTCAAGCTTAAGGCCTTCTGCGAGACGAAAGAGCCTCACACACAATTACTAGTTCGTGAAATAGAACTTTTTTATTCTCTCTATAATTGAGGCTTTCTGCCAAAAGAACTCGTCTTACCGGACCATTACTTCTACAGTGATTTCAATCCATACTTTGCCCTTTCCTCATTACGTATTCTAGAACTTTCAACAGCCTCTTTCTGATATTAAGTATAAGTGTCCTTTTTGTTTGCATTTTTTCAAAAGATTTTGTCGTTGCTCAAATGTTCAATCCATGGAATTTTCCCAGCATCCTTCTGTAGAACCACATATCCTGTTGTTTCAAGTAACTTCTTCATCTTTGAGGAGATTGTCCAGCATTCACTGCTATATAGGAGAACAGATATTATGTAACAGTTCAGTACTCTTTCCTTTGTAATGAAAACTTTTCCTGTTTCATAATACATTGCTTAGTTTCAGGAAGGCATCTTTCGTTATCCCAATGCAGCTTTCGGATTTCAATGTCGCATTTTCCGTTCTCTGTTAAAACTCTTCCTAGATATTTAAATTGTATGCGTTTGATTTTGGCATATCCAGTCCGTCAGTAAATTCATTTTGATAGAGTTTGAAACTATTTTTTAAAGACACCGGAGTAGATGAGCATAAATAATGTAAGCGAACTACTTTAAAACAAACCGAAACCATTCCTACGTCTAACGCCTTTAACCGCAATCAACACCAAAATAAAAGCATGATTTTTTATTTTATTTTCTCCTTTCTCTACTGTTAAAGTTTGATGTGTCCCAATAGATGTAACCATTAGACTGAGAATTGGTTAGCAAGCGAGTTTCATAGACAATTATTTGCATAACGAATTTAATCCCCACTGTGTTTCAAGCTTAAGGCCTTCTGTGAGACCGAAGAGCCTCACACACAATTACTAGTTCGTGAAATAGAACTTTTTTATTCTCTCTATAATTGAAGCTTTCTGCCAAAAGAACTCGTCTTAAGGACCATTACTTCTACAGTGATTTCAATCCACACTGTGCTCTAAACCTGAGGCCCTGTACCAGACGAAAGAATCTGTTATGAATTCGAATGTGCTTACACTTGTGACCTTGACGAAAGTGAGGCTCAATTCATGGGCGATTAGTTCTATAGTGCATTCAGTGTTGTGCGCTTCTCACACGGGACCCTGTACCAGATTCGTAAATATCTCTGAACGGGGTGTTGTCATTTTCAGCGAGTTTGCCTCTTGCAGGCAATTGCAACTGTAATGAGTTTAATTTTTACCGGATCTCCCACATTTCAGGCCTTGTGTCAAAGTAAGCTAATCTTAGTAAATACATATTTCTTAAATCATTCTTTCTTGTCGTTAATTTGTTGTTTTCAATTTTAGGAAAATATTTGAATTAGAAATATATGAATTCAAAATATTTCAATTCAATTAAAAAGCACAAAGCCTAAAATCCAAAAGATTTTTTTTATCCATTGTTAAAATCATTCGAGGAAGACATGGAGAATGTTTTTATTTTTGTACATGTGTTTAACATGAAAGATAAAAGATTTACTCTCGACAAGGTTGAAAATAGCTGTAACAGTTTTTTTGTGTTTTTTTTTTTTCTGATACTAACTAGTTATTTTGATTATTTAAGCTATTAGAGCAGTTATCCTCATCTTTATTACTATATTCACGGTGTTTCGACCGTGCTAATGACACCCCCGTCTTGCTTGGGGTGAACTTGCCTTATATATATATATATATATATATATATATATATATATATATATATATATATATATATATACCGAGGCATTGGAAGTGTTTCGTATTTACTAATTCCACATCCTGAACTTTTTCATTCCAATCCATAGTTTCTGTTTTCGAAAATCATAATTTTTGGATCACTTGAGAGAAGATGAGGATTTTATGTCAAAGATCATTCTTATCCCAACTATGAATACCTATGTCATCAACATAGTCACCCGGTGATCCATATAGACGTAATTACACATTTTTAAAAGTGAAAGAGACGTTAAGATAAGTCTATGAAACAGAGAATTCATTGAAACGGACTAATGTGCTATTTCCCTAGGTAGGCTTCTTTTTTTCTTCTTTTTTTTTCTTGAGGTTTTATAGTTTCGTTTTAATTTGTTTTTTTTTTTTTGTCTGTTAGTTTGTTTGTTTGTTTTTTATTATTAATATTGATAGCTGGTTCATTTCTGGGCTGAGTTTGTATAAGTATCCTGATATCAGCTCATTGACACCCAAGTCCACTCTCTTTCACACTCACTGTTTCACTCCCACCACCACACATACAGGGCCATAATCTTGGCAGGGTAGTTGGATGTAAGCTGATGTTTAACTCCACTTCTTACTAAGCCTACTTATCAAAATTTGCTTTTTTTTTTTTTTTTTTTTTTTTTCATTTTTAGGCGACAACGCAACTTAAACTATTTTAAAATCTAGATAGTAGAAAGTAATTAAAATTCATTTGGGAGCGGTGATTACATAATTAACTGCCCCTACCTAAATATATGCTCTTTAATATTTTTTATGGATAAATAATTAAATTTAAACTCAGAGCATGTGAAATTCAATGTATTCAGATTGGGACAGTTAATTATATAACCGCCGTTCCTTGATGGATTTTAACTCCTATATATTTTTTCCTCTTATTTTTTTTTCAATAGGAGTAGATGTTACAGTTTTTTGGATATATGTATGTACTAGTGATATTTACCCCACCCCAAGGGTTACATATGGCACAAGGCCGGGTTTTCCCCTCTTTGAACCCGCATAAACGGGTTCAGGGGCAGTCAACCACCCCGAACGAGACTCTACCCTTCGGCGGAGCCTCGTCCGGGTACCTCTCCGCCCGAAGGCAGAGAGTTAAACAGTTAGCCAAGTTAGCCAATGTATATACTAGTGAGCTAGCCAAAATGAGCTGACTCATTTTATAGTCCACCAAGAGAAGGGTTAACCAATCAGAAAGCTCAAAATATTCAATCCGACGTGTGTAAAGGCAGCCATTTTGTTTTTTCTCCCAAAAATATCTTCACTGCCAACCTGAAATCGAAGAATTGCTTCACTGCCAACCTCTGATATTGAAGAAATTACGGACTTCACTGGATTCCATATTCAGAGACTACGGCAAACATGATCAACAGTAGATAGGTCCGCCTATCGCCTGGTTCACACTCCTTCCCCGTCTTTTGAACAGGAGTAGAGGTGTATCTTTTATTCCTTGTTTAGGATTGGTTCCTTCTCCTAAGGACTTCTCATTCTCTTTTACTCCTGATAATCCTTTGTGTCTTAGTGGCATTATAGCTTTGCATGGGATGAAATGATTTAAATAAAAATCCACCACGATTAATTCTGTTTTCTTTGTTTTGTTTTTTTGTTATTTTTTAAGTGATATCAGTGAGCATGCCGGCGCCCTCCTCCTTCCTGATCCCAACTTTGAGTTTACCATAAAAACCGAATGGAATGGAGTCCCTTACACTAAAGAAAGCCCCGTGAAAATTAGGATTGACGGTGTTGGAGAATTTGTGAGGCTTCAGGTGGATGCACCTCTCTACAATAACACTGCCCCGCCCAAAGGACAGAGAGGTTATCCTTACCCAGGACTTTACAATTATGAAGGTATGTATAGATATTTGCTAAACTTGGCACCCGATAGTGATCAAACTCAGTAATGTTGTTCACCCAATACAAGGCCCAAGAGACATTCAAGGTAGAGAATTACTGAATGAGGTTTTTGTCAAGGCTTTAAGGGATGAGATAAGAAGATGAGGATATGTAGGATAGATACCGGTTAAATAGAGACTTGAAAAGGTTAAGATTGTAGTGATCGCGGAAGCATCCTCTCAGGAGTTCCACAAGGTGATAGTTTCAGGGACGAAACTCTCTGAGTAGAACTTCCTCCTTTGTAATGATAATACGAAGGGAATGTTGAACCTATGGGTGTGGCATGATGAGTCGTAGCTGTGAAGGCCTGAACTAGTTGATTACTTGTCTGATTTGCTTATTTCTTACGGCTTATCAACCCTTTGTGAATTATTTAAAGCCGAAACATATATTTGATTGTAAGAATTTTTTTTTTTTTTTTAGTGAATAAATAATTCGGGGGTGGGTAACAATATTCCCACTATTTAACCCATAGTTTAAGGGATGGATTCATAACTTTTCAAACGTTATTTACACATAAGTGGATGTAACGAACCCGGTCGAAATTTGAACTCGGCATTCTTATTTCTCATTTCGAACCGCTTACACCAGCCGGATATCCACCTAGTAGAAATAAGGAATGTACAATGGAGTAATGGATAGTGGCACGAATTGAGGAATCGGAGAGCCGAGTTCGAATTCCAGTCAAATCCATTACATTCACGTTTACGTGCTAATACCGCTGGTATATGTATGAATCCTCTTCTTCTCCCCCAGCTATGGGTAAATAGCAGGACAGACTGGGTTCTATAGCCTTGGATGGCAACTGGTCTACCGCAGAAAGAAATAGCAACCTACTACGAGAAAAAATCTGCCTCGTCAGTCATGTATCGAAAGATACACGATCGCCTAAGTGTGTATCACGCATGGCAAATAACTGCCTGATTCCTTGTAGTTCGAATTCCAGTCAAATCCATTACATTCACGTACGTGCTAATACCCTTGGGAAAGATATGATTCCTCTTCTTCTCTCCCCCAGCTATGGGTAAATAGCAAAAAATATCTGCCTTGTCAGTCATGTATCGAAAGATACATGATCGCCTAAGCGTGTATCACGCATGGCAAATAACTGACTGTCTAAGTTCGTTTGAACATTTGCCATGGAAAAGCGACGAAGAAGCGAAAAGCGAACAACTTTACCTCTGTGGGGAAGATATTTCACGGTGGAAAATAACCTCTAGGCCGCGTAATCGCTTTTGAACTCTGACAATGTCTGATATGACAGCAATTCTCCATTTTTTTTTTTTTTTTTTGGTCTCTGGTAACGCTTAGAACACTTAGTAGCTTAGTTTTACCAAATACACTGTAGTGATTAAACAGTTACGCTTTTGACGATTTAACTCACTACAGTATTTAAGTTTGAATCCCAGCCCAATTATATGAACTTAAGTATATTTATTTTTCTGCGGTATCGATCCGTTTCGGGAGACTGTGGAGTTGTGCTCTAGATTCTTTAACTAAACACGGATTCGACGATTGATTTGTTCTGGCTTTTAGCTAACTTTGTTCAGTAAAAATTAAAAAGTCATTTTCCTATGGGCCTTTTATTAGCAAAAGGATGAGCTCAAAATACTAATTACAAATCGGAGATACCAAAATCAAACAAGTACAACAATTTAAATATATGGGAAGTGTTCTAATAAAAGATGGAAAATGTGACACTGAAATTTGAAGGCGAAATGGGAAGGCCAAAGAAGCATTCCAAAAGCTAAGCAGAGAGAGAAGAAAAAAACATCGTTAAAAACAAAGAAAAGTGTATTGAAATATTACGTGATATCCGGATATGGCAGTGAATGATGGACAACCTCCTCAAAGAAACAGAGTTGAAGCAACAGAAATGTGGTTCTACAGAAGGATTCTGAGGATGTCATAGACCAAATATTTGAGCAACGACGAAGTTTTAGAGAAAAGGGAAACAAATAAGAAACTTATGCGTAACCCTAAGGAAATAACAGTTGAAATTTATGGGGTATTGGAAAATTTGATAATCACAACACTGACTTGGAAAATCTGATAATCACAAGACTTACTAAAGTCAAGAGGGAATGAGAAAAACAACGCATAACCTATCTAATGACCTTGAGTAAATGGATATGGATCAAGGTTTAGGAGAAATAACAAAAAAACAAAATTTATTAAAAGCTACGGAGGACAGGAAATTGTGGAGAGCCATGATCGCCTACGTCCTGAAGGGACAAGGCACATAGACAAATAAGCTTGTGTAAATGGATGGCGGAACAAGATTTAGGAGAAATAGCAAAAAGACAAAATTTATCAAGTGCTACGAAGGACAGGAAGTTGTGGAGAGCCATGATCGTCTACATCCTGAAGGGACAAGGCACATAGACAAATAAGCTTGTGTAAATGGATGACGGAACAGGAGAAATAGAAAAAAGACAAAATTTATCTGAAAGACAGGAAGTAAATGGAGATGACGGACATCCAAGGGACAAGGGAGAAAGTAAATGGATGACGGAACAAATTTAGGAGAATGCTTAAAAAAGACAAAAATTTATTAAAACGAAGGACAGGAAATTGTGGAGAGCCATGATCATCTACATCCTAAAGGGACAAGGCACATAGACAAATAAGCTTGTGTAAATGGATGACGGAACAAGATTTAGGAGAAATAGCAAAAAGACAAAATTTATCAAGTGCTACGAAGGACAGGAAGTTGTGGAGAGCCATGATCGTCTACATCCTAAAGGGACAAGGCACATAGACAAATAAGCTTGTGTAAATGGATGGCGGAACAAGATTTAGGAGAAATAGCAAAAAGACAAAATTTATCAAGTGCTACGAAGGACAGGAAGTTGTGGAGAGCCATGATCGCCTACGTCCTGAAGGGACAAGGCACATAAGGAAGAAGCTCCACAAGTGATTCCTTAAACGAGATATTCCTTATCAAGTCAACTATAAAGACATATATACAATACAACATCTTTAAACCGCGACTCTCAAGGTTCGGCCTTTTTCTTATCAGTCGCCATTAGTTCGTTGAGCGCCTACGGGGACAGCACTACAAGTTGTTTATAACTTTCCTCAACAACCGACAGCAGCAGAGTGTTTTGGTAATACGGTCTTGCTCAGTTCTTGTAACAGCAAAATTGTTCATTTGTTAGATTAAACTTTGAACCGTTGTATCTTTGAAGTGATTAAAGTTATCTTACTGGAATTCTTCGAGGTTTTTATAACACTAGTGTACTCAACTTTGAGCAATAAGGATGTATAATTACTCTCCAAGCTTGACAGAAGAACCGTGATGAAATCGATCATAAATTCAAATGACATGTTCGTCATTAATTAATCATAACTAAGGATCATGAAAGATTGAAATGAAGTTGATATATATATATATATATATATATATATATATATATATATATATATATATATTATTCCAGGACCATTTTCCAATTTATTCAAGATGATCTTCGCCCTCTAATGTTCTAACCTTCTGTCTTCAAGTAGCCTCAAACGTTTTATGTACGATTTCATTTCCAAATCTTTTCCACTGCTTCTTGGACTATCATAGATGAAGCACCTCTTTCACGTACCAAATGGATTTGAATTGGAACTTTTGTAATTAATCTCTTTAGCTCTAAGTTAAACTGATGATCCCTCTTCCTGTTGTGATCTCCTGATCCAGGTTTACTCTCTAGTGTTCCATTTTTTTTAAACTTATTCACCGTTCTCTGGATAGTTTTTTAATGAACTTTGAGAGTAAAAGCCAAAGTATGAATGTGTTTAGCATTACTGAAGTCCTGAATGATCTTTTTCCTCTCACCATTGCTCAATTGAGAAGACAATGGGTCTGACAAAAAACGACTTTAACCTACTCTCTTTCTGGCTAAATAACTGAATGGGTTTTTCATTGATTCTTACAACAAATGATATCAAGATGGCTAAGTGTCTTATCTGAAAACCTGGAAAAAAGAAATTCAATTATTTTATGTATTTTTTTTTTAAAGATATTAAACATATTGTGGGATGGACAATTATGTTGTTACACGATTCGGACATTTTTTTCTTTTACCCCCGGTATATTTACCCATTGAAGATGCCCCCAAAGATAACAAGGGGTGCAAATGATGCTAGGGTAAGAAGCGTCAAGTTTTATAACACATCAAACAATAAAACCTTGTTTGAAAACATTAATTATTCTACAGTACATCCACTGTTATTTCCTGTTTGGGCTGCTGGCTCCCTATAGGCCGGCTACAGTAGAGTAAGTGTAGATTATTTTTTGGTTTTAAGCTTTTAGCCCTTATATTGTATTCTGACATCATGGAGGCCCCAAGCATACTATGACCCTAGAATGGATATCATTGAGGGTGAATTCTGGTGAGCAATATCTGAAAGAATAAAAAGCCTGTTTAGAAGCATTAATGATTGTTTTATTTCCTGATTTAAGCTTTGATAACACAGCAATTCATGTGTGGAATAAGCTGGTAAGACGGTTTACACAGGGTTTCAGAGTGTCAATCTGAGGGCAGGGCAGAGGATTCGGAAAGAGTTGGGTGATATATCCAGTCAACATTATGATGTTTGGAGTGATCACTAGTCATGACGACGTTATGCCTCCATTCATCTTCCAACAAGGCGTCAGACTCAACAAGGAGGCCTACATCAAGTGCTTTGAGAAGGTAGTGTTGCCCTGGGTCAAGAGGGCGGCTGCTGGAAGACCCTATGTTTGACAACAGTACTCTGCACCGTGACACACAAGCAGGAGAACCCAGTCATGGCTGTCAGACAGTTTCTGCGACCACATCATTTCTTACATCTGGCCACCTAACCACCAGACTGCAAATCCTCTTGATTGTTATGTGTGGGATGCAATTGATTGAGAGACCAACAAAACTCCTTGTAACAACAAAAATGAACAGAAGGTAAGGATTATGGCAGCATTCACCAAACTTAACAAGGAGACCATCCGGAATGGCTGCAGAAGATTCCGAAGTTGTTTGGAGGACACGGTTGAAGCCAACGGCGATGTTATTAAATAAATTTACTCTTTAGTACTTCAAGATATTTTTATGTCATTTTGGTAGATATATATCTGTTAAAATGAGATGTCAGTGTTTTTTTCATTTTTGCGTAATTTGGACGACAATTTATTCATTGCATTCTGTATCTTGGATTACACAACAATATGTGAGATGAATTGACATGACTATGTTTACATCCGGTATTTTCTGTGGTCCGGTAATGGCCTTGTCCCACATGAGCCGGATTAAAGAGGTCGGACTATTTTTTTAATGAACTTGCATGTTATACTTCTAGGAAGAAAAAGTATTTCTTTTCTTAAAGAGAGAGAGAGAGAGAGTGTGTGTGTGTGTGTGTGTGTGTGTGTGTGAAAGACAATATCTAAATAAATAATTATATTTCTATTTGCAGTTGTGGAAGCATTTTTTCTTAACAATGATGACCAGTACCTCGAAGTAGAACTATCTCCGTGAGTAATACACATTCTGTGCAAAATTTTTATCTTCATTCAGTCAGTTATGTGTTATGCTTAAACGATCATGTATCTTTCGATACATGACTGACGAGGCAGATTTTTTTTCCGGCAGTCGGTTGCCATTTCTTTCTGCGGTAGACCAGTTGCTATCCAAGGCTACAGAAACCGGTCTGTCCTGCTATTTACCCATAGCTGGGGGTAGAAGAAGAGGATTCATACCTTTCCCAAAGGTATTAGCACGTAAGTGGATTCGACTGGAATTCGAACTCGGCTCTCTGATTTCTCAATCCGAGCCGTTATCCATTACTCCACCGTGCTTCCCAAACTTCGTTACTAACTATTAATCAAACGGGAATTATTCGTTTACAGTCATTAGTTTTTCAATTGAACGTACGGTGAAATCATGCTGGTCCTCACTCGATAACCGAATATAAGCTTCTTCAGTTCCAAGAATGGGGACCACTTGGAGAACAACAGGCCCTGTAAACGGCCACGCGATAAACCTATCAAGGCGCCGATCTCGTTACTTATACTAAGGGAAGAGACATTAAACGTTTCTATATGCCCTTCCTTTTTTCTTTTTTTTTTTTCGTTTTTCTTTCTCTATTTATTTATTTAATTTCCCCACTGAAAACAAGTAGCGTCTCCGATATGACTTTTCCGTCTTCCCACCGGGTCAAGGTTCATTATTTGTTATGTATTGGCAGTGCGCAACGGTCGTGCTAAGAAAGAGAGAGAGGGACAAGCAGAATTATAATGAGATAATTATAACTCCTTATCCAAGAATTTAGACACGTTGATTTTGCTTGCAAAAAAAAACAGTTGCTTTTATTATTCAATACAAATTGGAGTTCTACGTTTGTGGGACTTTGTTCTCCTGACGAATAATTGATCTTTTGTAATTTTTTTTTTTTTTTTTTACAGCCATGGTGAACATCTTGTGCTGTTGTTAAACGGAAGAAGAAATAGTGTGGTGGTAAGTTAAAATTGACTTACTTATTTCATTCAAAACTATTACTCTAATTCTAATTCTCTCTAATTAAATATTCTATATTTTATAGTGTGGATATTATTTCTCGTCGCACTGCTTATTGTGCAACATAGATAGATAGATAGATAGATAGATAGATAGATAGATAGATAGATAGATAGATAGATAGATAGATAGATATGAACAGACTGAGATAGATAGATAGATAGATAGATAGATAGATAGATAGATATGAACAGACTGAGATAGATAGATAGATAGTATAAACAGACTGAGATACATATACGAATAAACATAGGTAATTTACATGATGATCCTGTTTCATGCCTTAAGCGTTCATTAACGCTCAAGGCGTAAAACCGACAGTGACCCTGCAGTGTCGATTTCTCTGTCCACGTTGTTTATCACTACAAACACTCTATCACCGATATTGCGTAGACTTTGCCACGTAAATATAGCAAGTTTTAAACAATATCTATCTATCTATCTAAATATATATACAAGTTTGTTCCCTCTCAGCCAGTACAATCTATCTATCTATCTATCTATCTATCTATCTATCTATCTATCTATCTATCCCAGTCTCCCCGTGTTCCCTCTCAGCCAGTACATATCTATCTATCTATCTATCTATCTATCTATCTATCTATCTATCTATCTATCTAGTCGTTTTCCTCTCAGCCAGTACATATCTATCTATCTATCTATCTATCTATTTATCTATCTATTTATCTATCTTGAGTCTCCCCGTGTTCCCTCAGTATAGTACATATCTATCTATCTATCTATCTATCTATCTATTTATCTATCATTTTGCTTTGAGCTTTTCATGTATAATATTCCATCTATAGTTTGAATGTTCACCACTAAATTAAGTGCATTGACAAAAAGAAAATATTTGGTATGCAAAATAAATAAATTCGTTTATCATCATCAGGCAATGAATTTACTGATGCATAGATAGATAGATAGATAGATAGATAGATAGATAGATAGATAGATAGATAGATAGAAACAGAATAAAGAAAGAAAGAAAGAGAATGAGAAACAAAGAAAGAAAGAAACATACTGAGATAGAAACAAACCTACTAAGATAAATACAAAGAAAGGAAGAGACTAAGATAGATAGATAGATAGATAGAGAGAGAGAGAGAGAAGCAGAGATAGATAGATAGATAGATAGATAGATAGATAGATAGATAGATAGATAGATAGATAGATATGAACTGAGATAGACAGATAGATAGATTAGAGATGATTTCATTTTATTTCATTTATTTTTTCAAGCAACAACTGCCGCTTCAGTACTACGCCAAAACCTACGGTAAAACCTGGACTGGTGTCGCTTATCTGCCACTGGAATATTTTCCTTATAAAGTGACCAAATTCAACGCTTTTGCCATTCACGGAGAAGGCAAGAATCGCAAATATCTCGCCTTGTACCCAGCACCTAAAGGAAAATTCCAAGATCCAGACTTGTATGTTATTTTATCAGTAATATTTCCAAATTTATTATATAATTCCGATTACCATTTTCATTAATCGCTACAAATGGCGACTTCTTCTTACTTGAAATGTTTAGCATTCAATTGTCTTTCTTAATACAAATATATGCGGTTTGGGTCACAATTGTGGACGACGAAAGTACTAATGCACTTGGAAAAGGCAAGAATCCATCGTTTCTCTATCCATCTGTAGGTTAGACTTGGCACTTTAGCCTCGGATAAACGATTATTATGGCTTCAAAGCAATGGGAAATCACTATATTAACTTTGTCAAGAAGTCATATCACTTCATAAATAATAATAATAATATTAAAAGAATCTTTCGGTTGCCATGCTAATCTACTTCCAAAAAGGATATGGATTTCAAAAAAAAAAAAAAAAAGGAATCAGCAATGAGATAAGCTTGTTAACCACAACTCATTGGCAAAACGCCCAATGCCATAATATTCTTCGTCCTTTGCCACCCGTGATACACGATTAGGCGATCATGTATCTTTCGATGACTGACGAGGAAGATTTTTTTTTTTACTCACAGTAGGTTGCCATTTCTTTCTGCGGTAGACGAGTTGCCATCCAAGGCTATAGAACCTGGTCTGTACTGCTATTTACTTATAGCTGGGGGAGAAGAAGAGGATTCATACATATACCAGGGGTATTAGCACGTAAATGTGAATGTAATGGATTCGACTGTAATTCGAACTCGGCTCTCCGATTCCTCAATCCGAGATAAAGAAGGTGAACATTACGCAAATATGTAGGTTAGATAATGGTTGACCCCGAAACTTGAAGAGGTTAAATTTTCAACAATCTTCCTTGGATTTTATCAACGCAAATGCGACAATTCTGCTTGTTAACGAATCCACCAAGATGAAAATGGGTTTCATCATTAAAAGAGGATTTTTTGTGAAGAATCTTCATCGTTTTGTCTTTGCTCATGCACCCAATTGACGAATGGACGGCGGTTCAAATGGTCAGCAGTTTTCAGTTCTTGTGTCAATTGAATTTTGTAAGCGGGTAGAGACAAGTCTTTTGTCAAAATTCGATGTAACATTGTTGTGGAGAGGTTCAATTCCTGCGCTCGATGACGAATAGAGGGGTCTGGATTTTCGGCCACATTCTTGTGCACTTCAGCAATGTTTTCAGTTGAACGTCGTAAACGAGCACGCAATGGTGTTTTCACATCTGCCACCGACCCAGTTTGTTTGAATTTACGAACAATTTTTCCAATTGCCCTCTTGAAACTTCAACATGTTGTTTGATTGTTAATCTTTCCATGGTTGAAATTGCCAAGGACATAAGTTGTTAAATCCGAAAGAAAAAGAAAATAATCATTAGACGCTTAAACTTAATTCACATTTAAAATCGGTCCAATTTACTGAAACACCCTATATAATCCCAGCTAGATCCTTACGGTGAGGCACCCAACTTACCTTAAGGCAATAAATGAAGCATCCAACAGCATGAAATTATTTCTTGTCTGTTCACCTTACTCTTGATTCGGATGATGCTCAAGTTAAGCAACATCGAGCCTGGTCAGAACATATATGGGTGACCGCTTAGAAACACCAGGTAGTAGGAAAAAAATTCAGTCGTTTGATCCCCGAAGTTAAGCAGCGTTCAACCTGGTCAATACTTATATGGGTGACCACTTAGAAATGCCAGATAGTGAGAAAAAGTCTCAGTCGTCTGATTAATGAAGTTAAGCAATATCAAACCTGGTCAGTACTTTCATGGGTAACCGCTTAGAAACACCGGGTAGAGAAAAAAAGGTTCAGTCGTCTGATCAACGAGGTTAAGGAGCATCCAACCTGGTCAGTACTTAGATGGGTGACCGCTTAGAAACACCAGGTAGTAGGAAAAAGCTTCAGTCATCTGATGAACGAAGTTAAGCAGCGTCCAACCTGCCAGTTCTTACATGGGTAACCACTTAGAAACACCAGATAGTGAGAAAAGGGTGCAGTCGTCTGATTAACGAAGTTAAGCTATATCATACCCGGTCAGTACTTTCGTGGGTGACCGCTTAGAAACACCTGGTAGTGAGAAAAAGGTTCAGTCGTCTGATCAACGATGTTTAGGAGCATCCATCCTTGTCAGTACATAGATGGGTGACCGCTTAGAAATACCAGGTAGTGAAAAAAATGTTTCAGTCGTCTGATCAACGAAGTTAAGCAAGGTCCAACCTACCTGTTCTTACATGGGTAACCACTTAGAAACACCAGATAGTGAGAAAAGGGTGCAGTCGTCTGATTAATGAAGTTAAGCAGTATCAAACTTGGTCAGTACTTACATGGGTGACCGCTTAGAAGCATCAGGTGGTGAAAAAAGTTTCAGTCATCTGATCAACGAAGTTAAGCAGCATCCAACCTGGTCAGTATTTACATGGGTGATCGCTTGGAAACGTTATGTAGTTAGAAAAAGCTTCTGTCGTCTGATCATTGAAGTAACGTCGAACTTCATCTTTACTTAGGTGCCTGAGCCCTTATGAATGCCGGTTACTGTGTCAGATTGATTTGAGGCCGTCCTGGGTATGACAATAAACTACACCCGAAGAAGTCTGGGTATGACGATAAACTACATCCGCGTCCCGGGTATGACGATAAACTACTTCCGACAGCGAGGCCTTAGATTAGAAGGTTTTGAGGAGCGTGGAATCACCTCTTAATTGCTAGTGTTCCCAGGTCCACCCAGGACCCGAGGTAGCAGCACCTGTCAGGGTCCTAGCTATGGGCAAATAGTTACCCCCCACCCCAAAAAAAGGGTCAAAAGTATGAAAATATGTATTAATACCAGCAATACTTTTTGAAAACATTTTACCAGCAATACATTTTTGAAAAAAAATATTACCAGCAATACATTAAAAAAAAAAAATTACAAGCAATACATTTTTTGGAAAAAAATTACCAACAATACATTTTTGAAAAAAATTATTATCAACAATATAAATCTTGTCGGCATTAAATAACTCATTGAGGTTGATATACCGTAAATCAAACCAAACCCAGCCTGATTTGATGTTTGTAAATAAACGCATAAGTGTTGACTACAAAATCACTGAAACGTGAATTTATTATTTTGACCTTGTTTAATTATTTTGTTTATGTTTTTAAATCTTCGATTTCTTTCTTTGCTTCAGCCATCGTCTTGAATATTTCAAACCGATCGACATGCACCGACTGCCGCCTTTCTTCCCGAAAGAAATCAAGCCATCCGATTTGTGGCTCCTGTTCCCGCCCAGAAAACATTAAAATATTGATTTCAGCCGGACAACTATCAATAAGGAAAAGTTAATAAATAGAACAGATTATAACATTGATTCCGAGCGGGGAGGTGCTGCCTGGTGGTTGAGATAGTTGCCCATTTCGTCATACGAAGCCATTAGTCAGTGTTTAAACCCTGGCAAAAACGAAAACACACACACACACACACACACAAAAAAAAAAAAAAAAGAAGCAGTAATTCGAACGATGATTTTCTATATATACAGATAGG